ACTAAAAGACAAAAAGAAACTTAACGAAACCGTCTACAAAAGAATCCGACCCAACGACTCCTCCACCGCCAAATTCTATGGACTACCAAAGATTCACAAAGAAAACAACCCGCTACGACCAATTGTATCTCTTCCTGGATCTCCCACGTATGAACTATCAAAATATCTTTCTAATATTCTGCACCCACTAGTCAAATCATCACATCATACTATCAAAAATGCCACAACTTTCCTCACCAATATTAAAAATGTAAAACTAAAACCAGACAAACTCATGATATCTTACGATGTAGTGTCACTTTTCACATCCATACCACTAAACATAGCCAAACAAGTCACGAACGAACTACTTACTAACAACAACTCATGGAAAATCACAACCGAACTAGACCAAGACGATATCATCGACCTGCTCGAGCTCTGCCTCTCCACTGAATTCTCCTTCCAAAATTCATATTACCGACAAATCTCAGGAACACCAATGGGTTCTCCTTTATCCACCTTCCTTGCAGAAGCTGTTATGCAACACCTAGAAAAACAGTCAGTCACCAACAACGCACACATCAGACTATGGAGAAGATTTGTTGACGACATCTTTGCTATCGTCAAAAAAGACAAAACAGAACACATTCTACACACAATAAACAACACCACACAGAACATAACCTTCACCATGGACAAAGAACAGAACAAACAACTTACCTTCCTAGATATTCTACTTACCAGATCCCATGACGGCACATTAAGCACACAAGTATTCAGCAAAAATACACACACAGACCAAATACTCAACTTTAATAGCAATCACCCAACACAACACAAAATTAGTTGCATACGAACTCTCTTTAACAGGATTAAAACACACTGCAATACAGAAGAAGCCAAGAAGAATGAACGCAACTACTTATACTCTACATTCATAAACAACAATTACCCACGAAACTTTATCAACAAAGTACAAAATACAACAAACCACAAACTGAAAACCTAACGAAGATACAGACGAACCAGTAAAATAGTGACATTACCATATATAAACGGAACATCAGAAATGACATCAAGACTACTCCGACCATTCAAAATAAACATCGCACATAAACCAACACACAAACTCAAATCATACTTCACTGGATTAGTCCGATAGATGCGAGTCGGAATCGTATAGATTAATAAATAATTTTATTCGATCTAGTAAATAATGATATAGTATAATTAACAAATGTGCAGTTTAACAGTATACCAAACGAAAATACATGAACTCACTTCTTTGCCGGGTCCTCACGATCTACGTTAATTTCAATACAGGTTAGCCGATATAATAAAGTAATACAATGATGAAGCTTTCGCCCAGGTTAGCATGTGGTAACTGTCAGCTGCACTATAGACTCAAATCCTTTTTATCCCAATGAATATTGCGCGTCAAATTACGCGTCAGTTAAATCATGCATAAATTAAACTCAAGTGCTAAATAATTATCCGTGCAGTTTGTCAGCAATCCATTCACTAAACATAAAGACCGAACAACGACATTCGACACAACCAATGCGGTCTACATGATACCATGTAAAGATTGCCCCAAACAGTACATAGGACAAACATCCAAGAAAATTGAAACAAGACTCACTGAACACAAGAATGCCATCAAACGACGCGACCCAAAATCACTACCAGCAGAACATACCTACGATACCAACCACACATTTGACTGGACAAAAACACAACTTCTTGTACGCGCACAGACAAAACACGCACGAGAATTCAAAGAGGCATGGTACAGCAAAGACAACAACACAATTAACAGACATATTGACATCCCCATCATCTATTCACAACTAAAGACAAAACCAAAACAACAAACTAATAACACAACGACTAAAATAAAACACTCGAATTTCATTAACGTAATCGATACACCCGAAACCATGACAACGCATCTTATACCATCCAATAATATCAACTCAAATACTAACCCACCAATCAGACGCTCCAAACGCCTACAAAATCTTTGTAAATAATATATTGTCACATTCTGACGAAGGCTCGAAGCACCGAGTTGAAAGCTTAATAAAAATTTAAAACAAATCCAGAGAATCCTTATCATTATCATAATATGCCTGGGTTACCAATTTTCAAATATATATATATATATATCCGTGTACAATCCGAGAGCGTAGTATACAATTGTATATTACGCTCGCTGCGCTTGCGCAGTTTGAGCGCTCTCGGATTGCGTAGAGAGTCTCATAAAGAGACGTTCACCGCATTCGCTTTATGCAATGCTCACCTATATAGGTTTGAGCGCTCTGGTGATTCTACAATACAATCCATACAATGTGTAACCGTACGTCCTGTGTCCCAAGTGCAGGAGTCACCATTTTACTATGGTGATAGCCGGGAGGGCACATTGTTATACACTTTATATATATGTATATATATATAAAAGATAAACGTTTCTCCGGATTTTTAAATGATTTTTTATTGAGCTTTCGACTCGTTGCTTCGAGCCTTCATCAGATTGAGGATATTTATTTACACGTGCTTTTAGCTTGGAGACGTTTAGAGCGTCTAATTGAATTAGTGGGTGGATTAATGTGATTGGATGGGGTGAAATGCGTTGTCATGGTTTTGGTGTATTGTTAATATGATTGGTGGTGTTAATAATATTAGAGTGTAGTGTTTTAGTTTTGGTGTTGTTTGTAGTTTTTTTGTCCTTTTTCTTTAGTTGTGAGTATATGATGGGTATGTCGATATGTCTGTTTATTGTGTCGTTGTCTTCACTGTACCAAGCTTCTTTAAATTCGCGTGCGTGTTTAGTCTGTGCTTAACGTCGCCCACAAACCTACACAAAAACTCAAATCATGCTTCACCAAACATAAAGACAAAATAACAATTCATGATACAACTGACGCGATCTACATGATACCATGTAAAGACTGTTCAAAGCAATACATAGGACAAACATCTAAGAAAATTGAAACAAGACTAACAGAACATAAAAACGCCATAAAACGACGAGATCCGAACTCACTACCGGCAGAACATACCCACGGAAACAACCACACATTCGACTGGACAGAAACTAAAGTACTCGGACGCGCACAGACTAAACACGCACGCGAATTTAAAGAAGCTTGGTACAGTGAAGACAACGGCACAATAAACAGACATATCGACATACCCATCATATACTCACAACTAAAGAAAAAGGACAAAAAACTACAAACAACACCAAAACTAAAACACTACACTCTAATATTATTAACACCACCAATCATATTAACAATACACCAAAACCATGACAACACATTTCACCCCATCCAATCACATTAATCCACCCACTAATCCAATTAGACGCTCTAAACGTCTCCAAGCTAAAAGCACGTGTAAATAAATATCCTCAATCTGATGAAGGCTCGAAGCAACGAGTCGAAAGCTCAATAAAAAATCATTTAAAAATCCGGAGAAACGTTTATCTTTTATATATATATACATATATATATACAAAGTGTATAACAATGTGCCCTCCCGGCTATCACCATAGTAAAATGGTGACTCCTGCACTTGGGACACAGGACGTACGGTTACACATTGTATGGATTGTATTGTAGAGTCACCAGAGCGCTCAAACCTATATAGGTGAGCATTGCATAAAGCGAATGCGGTGAACGTCTCTTTATGAGACTCTCTACGCAATCCGAGAGCGCTCAAACTGCGCAAGCGCAGCGAGCGTAATATACAAAGCGTATAACAATGTGCCCTCCCGGCTATCACCATAGTAAAATGGTGACTCCTGCACTTGGGACACAGGACGTACGGTTACACATTGTATGGATTGTATTGTAGAGTCACCAGAGCGCTCAAACCTATATAGGTGAGCAATGCATATATATATATATGGAGTTCATTGGATCAGCCTTCCTCCCAAGCACTTTCTCGAACTCCATTTTAATGTGTGGGCTGCGCGCAAAACTCGCGAGACAAAAACATGGGAAAACGAGGGAAAGCTCATTCTCTAATTCAGACGCTGCGTAGCTTTGTTTGGCTTGGGGACGATGCTGTCTTGAGATTATGCCGCTTTGAATGTGGTTTTTTTAGTTTTTCTATCTCTACTACCAAAGACAGGATTTCCCCATTCCTGTCATCTTGCGAGACTGCCTTAAGAAACCCTTAACCAATCAAAATCCTTCTTGGATCACGTACACTAAAGCATGATTGAAATAATATATTGTTAGCAATGCAAACATTTTCATTAAGCTATTCGACTCTATTTAGTCATCATTTAGTCATCATGTAATTAAGTGCAGTATCTATAGACTCTATGTAATTTGATCTAGTTTAGAAAAGACAGATAGTTCTTAAAGAAGTCGTCGTTAAAGTTATCGGCGCGCAAGATCTGCAAAAACCTTTAATGTAATAGGTAGTTGTACTTCCAACGGATCATCTCACAGTAAAAGTTACCGAAAAGCACTTTTCTTAAAGCTTGCACTCAACAAAGCTAAAAAGCAATAGGAATATATATATGGTTAAAATATGGGACAAGTTGTTCAAGCTTACAAACTTTCCTGAAATGCGGTTAAACCATGCACGAACGCTAGGCATTAAAATTGCAAACTATTTTGCATTTTCCCCTTTTTAAATGCCATTTTCTCAAAATCTTTATCAATTGTTATTATTTGGATTGATTTAAGCTCAAATTTACGCATAATTGACGAGGATTATAACAAGATGGTATTTAATTGAACGAAAAATTCAAAATAATTTTCAATTTGTTCGCATCAACCAAATTTCCCAAAACTTCCTTAGCTTGAACAAAATTTGCCTTGTTTTAACCCTATGTTTTCCAATTGCTCTTTAGTTGCATCTTGTTTGTATGTAAGCTATTTCAAAGGACCTTCTCGATAATACAAGCGACGTTTTCCAAATTATTCGGTTTTTTATACACACTCTGTATAGAATTCGGTAAATCATTAATTTTAACCAGACTTTTTTCTTTTTTGCAGAGCGTTGCTGTTGCTCAAAAGGTATAAATGGGAAGTTGAAGGGAAAATTGAGGATACTGTAAAGCAGTATGATGCTCAAGTCCATATTTTAATCATACTCTTTACCGCGGTTGTACCACTATTATAATTATTTATGCCCACTGACCAGTTGTGAAGCTATAGCTATATATAGCACGTTTTCCTCCACGATATTACTAATAATTTATTAGAATGGTAATTTAAAAACGCTTATGAACCATTTAGGCCGTTTTGGATAAAGATACGGACTTGTTGATCACGTGTTTATCTGTTTTAAAAGAAGCTATTGGGCAGATGAAAAAAACGTTGAAAAGAATATTTGGTAAAATATATGAATTTGGCCGTTTTGCCATGAAAATAGAACTTCATGTTGATGCTCTTATTTATTTGTTATTTAGAACATTGCAGCCAGGATTTTTTCCATCCAAAATTACGGGTGTTCTTAGCCGGGTAAGCTATCTTTTCTACACTAAAATCCCGTATTAGGCGGGCGGGGAAGCTGCAGCCCTCCCAAAATGTTAGCAGACCAGGGCAGTCGGCTTTATTCACAATAGAAAGTTGTGTAAATAAGGTCATTTATTATTGAAAATGTACCAACCGCCCCCCTGAAAAATGTTTGCCTATTTGCGGATGACAATATTTACTATCACGGTATATTTCGGAAAAAGAAAACATTTTCCGTGTTTCCAGAGAGAGAAAAACGCGTGGGAATGTTTTCCAGATACAAAAATTGCGTGGCACGAGTACGAAGTGCGAGTGCTGTCCCTAGAACGTTTGTGGGGGGGTTATTCATATATTCAGTTTTTCATAATATTTCTTTTTATGAAAGCTATTCACAGAATGTATTAAGCAATCTTGATTTCAAAAAAGATCAATATGGCTCTAGAACTGCCTTTTGAAATAAACAATAAAGTTTAACGTAAATCTTCTTTTCTGTGGTGAAACGCAAAACGACAGGTTCGGCAGCCATGGTTTTTCACTATTTGCTATCTATTGACACTAGATGGCGAGTAGAGTAGCCAATCAAATTAACGCATTTGCAAACTAACACTTTTATGATTCTATACTAATAAAAATATAGCGAGAGAGGTAGCTAATGAAACCAATGTCGAATAATTTAGGTGGAAAAATAATCGAAACCTCCCTGAAGGGATTTTGTACGAAGGAGTCAGTGAAAATCCATTGCAGGTAATAAAATATGAAACGTCAATAATCAGATGAAATATGTGATAATACATGGAGCTCAAGTGAAACGTATATACTTCATTAATCATACGACTCATATACCCATAGCTAGTGCGTTCCTCTAAATTTAACATCAATTCTTGTGCCAAATATTGTCGTTGTTATTTTTATTAGCCTTTTTTCCAGCTATTTGACTTCGTATTCAATATATTCAGTAAACCACATAAATATACATTTTTCCCATACACTGATAGCAAGCGACAATTACTTAGTTTTACGAATGAATACCGCTTACAACATAGTTACATCACATATTGTCTTGTATAAATTTACAATGGATTTTAGAACTAAACATGGAAGGTTTTGGATTTGGTGACTATAATTTTGGTAATTGATCATCGGACGCTTTATTCACAGTACATTGAACATACTTTAGTTTTCAGGAGGGAGTGCAGCTCAAAGCACGACTTTTCAACTTTTTGACGCTGCTCTTGGTGTTAATCATCCAAAAATTAAAGGTAGATGTGATTTTCAATCCTTTTCTATTAACGAAAGTCGCAGTGAACATACTTTAGTTTTAGAACATACTTTTTTGACGATGCTATTGGAATTCGGCATTGCTATAATACAATTTTTATCCCCTTTGGCCTCTTATACTGAACCTGGAAGAAGACCTAATATAATTTCGAAATTATAATTTGCGTGCACCAACAGCAGAAAATGGTGTATTTTTATCGAGATATACTATTTACCGAGCCGAGGACTGGAGCTCGGACTCGAGCTCAGACTCCTGCTCGGACTCTTGCTTGGATTCAACCTTGGACTAAAATCAATCTTATTTAAAGTAAGTCCTTCTTATTTCTCACGAACTTTGACAACAAATTATAATCATTATCACAGCAAACCATTTTTGATTTAAAATACTTCATTATATCAACTTGATTGTCTATCAATTTGAAGTGTTTTCTCACGTAAATGAGAATAATAAAAAGTCGTTTAGTTTAATCGAACGATGAATCAACATGGATATAAAGTATGGACTTATATTGACTTACATATATACGTGGGTCTCAATGGGTTTACTGACTAGCGACAATGAGATTTATATATACGTCCTTTGAAAAAATTGAAAGCATTGGAAAGACCCTATTATTTTCAATTTTTTTTGTATAACCTTTGACAATATTGTAGAGCCTTATCCCGAGTGGTTTCCAAACCTTGAAAACACCACTTGAAAACACTAATCTTTACTTAACTATCAATAGTCATTTAATTAGGTTTATTTTAATTAGGTTCAACAAAAATTGTACTGACAAGCTCAAACAACAAGAAACCTTTAGAAATTTCACCTGACTATGCTATAGCGACTTATGAATATTCCCATCTACACCCTCATATACCGCCGTTGTTGTTTCTATTTGTAATAAAATTATTAACCTTCCAAATATTATATTATTGCAAATAATGTTCAAAACGTGAAAGCGATTAGCGAGGGCTTTGTTTAATGCGAGTTTCGCATATATACGTTAATAAAAAGTATTTCCTCAGGCGAAGTATCAAGTATGACACACGTTGTTATTTTGATGTTATGTAAATTCAGTAGCATAATATTTGTAATGCAAAAGACTTGAGAGAAAAATAATGTCATTCACTTTCAGCTTTTCATTTAGTTCGTCAAGGGGGTACAGTGACCAGAATAAACTGAGTAATAAATAAATAATTGCAATGTTTCAATAATTGCAAAAGTTCGCCTGAAAAAAATATAGATATGATTGATATTTGTGGTCACATGCAAAGCTTGCATTGGTAAAATATTTTGAGCTTTTAAGTTTTAACTACATTTAAAACTTTTTAGCGATGATTTTTAAAGAGAACAGAAATTCGTTTTGCCAACAGATCACTAGTGCTTATTCTAATTCCGTATATTATATGAGTCATAATATGACAACGGCATTGGCGGTATCATTGTCATACAAGAGTACGTTTGGGCCGTACTGTTAGCAGCTCATATTTTTGTATAGAATTGTGCTTCAACAATTATGTGCCGATGGCAATTACCTTAAATGATTGTCTCTCAAACGAAAATAACGCAAGTGTTTCGTTGTCTTTATTGCATAAATTTTGATTTGTTAGTTCTCATTGTGATCTTATTACGCAGAGCATTCTTTTTGCTGTTAGCTTTTTATCGCAACGCACTACGTTAATTTAGTTCAAGTCCGAGTTAGAGTCTAAAATCAAGTCCATACTTGAGTCTAAGGTCAAATCATAGCTAGAGTCTGAGCTCGAGTCTGAGCTCGAGTCCTTAGCTCGGTATTTAGGTATCCTCATTTTTATCAACACTAAATAAATGGCTACCGCCGGATGTTGGCTTGGGCAAAAGCCAACATTCATAAATGAATATTATGCAGTGTTGAATTCCTTTGAAATCAATTGTTTTCTATGGATTGTAACCAATTGTAACATGCATATATGAATACGACCCGCCCCAGAAGAAAATAAATTTCATTTTGATGTTTCTATTGTGACGTAATGACATTGTGACAGTTTACGTAAGAACCTGTGACAATCGACGTAATGAAGACATTTGATGATAATTGATAAGGCACATGTGACCAACCTTTTTAGATGGTGAACAAACCTTTCTAGAGTCTATGCTAGATCACATGCCTCGTTGGCATAGAGAATTTCTTTTGTATGTTCGAAGCGGACCATCCATTCGTGAATATGGTAAGATTTGTTAACAAATATATTCGAAAAATCATGGCAACCAGTTTTTGCTTCTAAAGTGAAAGGTGATGTACAATTTCTTTGCTATAATATCATGGATCGTTCTCCATTTTAGTGTTGCAAAGCAATGACCTTAAACTTCAACAACTTTATAACAAATGTCTTGAACGTTTAACAGAATACCGTACTGACCACATAATAATTGCTGCAAGGTAAGCAATTATTTTCTTAACAGTACAGGGAAAAATTGGTCAGTCATATCAACATTACTCTTCGAACGGACCTGAAGCAGTAGATAGTACATTTCTAGGGAGAATTAAGCTAATATAATTTATAGTATAAAAGTACTTTACAGAATACAGTGACATATTTTTATTTAACGTAGCAAGCTATTAAATTTTTCAAAGTTTACTTACAAAATACAATAGATGATCGGTACTGTTAATACTCAACATTTTTCACTTTTCGTTTTGACTTCACAGCAAAGTGGCCCTTCTTATGTTCCATTGACTTGCACAGCGAAATGCCCCCTTTGTACATTCCTTATTCCTTATAAGAAAACTTAAAGAATATTGAAAATCACTTTCTCACATTTCTTCTTTAGATATGTCACAATCCAAGCCACAAAAAAGAAGAACGCTAATTTAAAAATGTTGGCAAAACAAGGGGCTGGTGGAACAGGTGGGCAAACTTCTTTATTCAATGGCTTTAACTTTTTCGAAGCGAGGACATTGTACTGAAGTACATATATACTCAAAAGTTCATTATATCATAAATTTTGACATTCATAGCTTGAACATAGTACTTTCGATATCCATTTTTATATAATGGGCTAAAATCATCTGGAAGTTTTCAGATCCAGTAGAAGTTAGTTCAAGTTTTTTCCAGCTCTTGTTTTAACTTCGAAGGGCCTTTCTTTTCACCGTATTGCTGACGAGCACTATTCTGATGATTTTCCTATTTCTCAAATTTTACTCCTTTTATAGTTTTTTAATGGTCTAAACTTAATTTGATAAGCGAAAAAGTGTTTTAACTCATTAATTAAGAAAAGTAACAGACTAGACTGGTGACGACAATTTTTGTGAAAAGTTCCTCTTCTTTAACTACGTAACCCTTTTGTTTTTAAGATTTGATGCCATTTTTAAAAGGAGTGCGAAATGAAACGTCAGAGAGCAAGATTCCCATTGCCAATGGTTTTTGACAAAAATGTGCCATTATTTTATACGTAGTTTTAATAGTTAAAGTTAATCACTGGCGTAGCCATCCTGTATATTTATTCCTGATTTGTTAATTTTTCTTTGTTCACTTATTACAAAAACAATAGATTTGATGGACGATTTTTCAGTTTCCCTAAAAAAAGATTGGACAACAAGATATGTTCTTTCAAAGTTAAAAAATAGAATGATTTTTTACAACCATGGCCGAAACTTGGGTACAAACTTTTGTGTGGGGTGGGGGTGGATGACGAACTATCTTGGCCAACATGAAGGGCGTGGCCATAAAATTGCCCGAAGTATCTTGAAAGCCCGTTAAGGTAATTTATCGAACAGATTAAGACGTATAAAAAGTTCAAAACAAAATTATACAAGTTATATAAAATGAAATACGAAAATCGCATAGTAGTCAATACAAGAATCTGTTAACAATTTATCCAATTTCCACTTGCATACTTTCATTATACCTCAATTTATAAAATAAAGCTTACGGCGCTAAAGATCATGGTTATACGTCATTTTTCCTTGTCACAACATTGAACTAAAATTCATGGAACGCTGTCTTAATGAAATAAATGAATATTATCTCAGACACGCGAAACTTTATCCCAGACACGCGTGTGTAGTGTTTCGAGATTCTCTCGCGGAGATTTTTCGATGAGAAAATAACAAGAAATCGGTGTTTATTGCAAAAGAATCAAAAAAAGATATTTTCTTTCATTTGTCGCTGCATATATAAGTTGGCATTTAATCATATCGACAGGTAAATTCAGTTGCTTCCTTCTTTGCATTTCACTTGTCGTGAATGATGCCGCATGAATGAAGTGAATGCAAAGAGGCAAGTTGTGAAAAGGATCGTAAATTTACTTCAAAACAACCAGTAAAATTTTTTGTAAAATGTTACGAAATAAAACGTTTGCATTTACCTTGAATGAAGACATTAGGAGCCTTCGATCGATCCGGCTTTTGAAATGTGAACCATCAGTACATCGATGATAAGAAAATGGCATAAACAATTGATTGAAAAATATTTTAAAAGATGACAAGCCAAGGAGCCTTGACAATTATTAAAGCATTAAACGAGCCTGAAGATAAAAAGATCCCAAGACACATTGCACTGTATTCACCAAGTCTAGACTGACCGGTCATGTAAGTAAAAACCACAGGCCAACCAAAGGTCTTCGTACGAAGCCACCAACTGCAAATAATACTGGACCATCAACTAACTCTTCGATGTACTAATACTCTTATCTTAGTTGAAATGCACCACTCATTCCGGAATACAAACAGCTTCCAAACATCAGTAACTAATGTGGGTTGAAAATCACGCTCTTTATACTTCACCATAATCACCAATGCCAATTAGCGCTAAACGGAGGATAAAGCGTTGTTGTCTTGTAATTTTTTTCTCATATGGCTTACTGATTACATGGCATTCATTTCTGCGTTCTCTCAAAATTAGAAAGACCGACTGGTAGAACTTATAAACGTGAAATAACTAAAATAAGAGGGGGAAAACCCGTGGAATAGACGACGTTTCGACGTTCTACAGTGACGACGAGTTACGAGTTACATGAACGTCATCGCTTCAGACAACTACTGGCCATACATAAAACGTCTTGTCAAAAACCATGTCCAAACGAAAATAGTAGAGTAAAAAAACAATTATCGGCGTCTCGTAAGACTTGTATGAAACTTTGAATCGTATTCTGTATTTAATATGAAGATATCATGTCTTTTTGGCAGTTTCTTTACACCATGTCGGATCAAAAACGAAGACAGTCTACTAAATCACAGTCAGCAAGCGTCTGGGACAAAATAAGCCTTCATAACGCTACATTTTTTTGCATCCGAGAGCTTTCAGCAAGTAAACAAATTTACTGACTGTATTAATATATTAAAAGTTTATTTTCTCGAGCTTTCCCGCCTAGTTGCCTAGTGATTAAATAGCAAAAACCAGTTTTTCTGGTTTTTCCTTGTTTCCTCAGCTTATCCTGCGGATAGTTAAACGCTAAGCTAAACGGCGTTCGTGCAACGCAATTTTAAACATCGTTTAGCTATCCAACGAATAAGAAATTTATACAGTTTATAGCGGTTGAACATCCTTTAGTTTAAACGCCTTTCGTACAACCGGCTCCAGAGGTATTGCGTAATCGCTTTTGACGTAGACAAATTACTATTTACTTTTAACATAATTCACGTATAATGAATAATCAGTGACTACAACTTCTATGGCTCATGGTCGTCATGTGCTATCTGCTCGCAGGCTAAATGGTTAGCCGCTGACTGCATTAACCACATCAACGATACAAAAAGTCGTGCATTTATTGATAAGAAATATAGGAAATATGTTTCTGGAATAATTTAAAGTCTGTACGTTATTGCTTAAAAATTCTTTTCTTTAGTCACTCATCGCTTCATCGCCACATCCCAGGTCTGTTCTTTCCATGTACTTCTTATAGTCATTTGAATTCGCTAGATATATTAGCAATATGACAAGCACAAGTAACGAAAATATGGTAAAACACAATAGAGTTGTTTTTGTTCCTAAAGTTGTGAAAAGACAACCAAACACAACTGTACCAATTTCTTTTCCTACGCCTGCAAGCATCATTGTAACCAAGCCTAAAATTAAAAGAAAGTTTTAAACGGTATACATTCAAGAGTAAGCGTCAACCAATGTGTTAACATGGTGTCAACCAAGATGCATTGCGCACTTTTGTTAAGGCTTACATCGATATTTTTTGAGCTTGCTGCACACTGAATTCAATTCGTCACTACATGTCTAATTTATCTGAAGTTAGAAAAAAGATTGATTGAAAGCTCTATTATATCATAGGCGGACCAGAAATCTGTTTAAGTTTTTTATTCGATTTTTAACGAAATTTTAAATTTCGTTTTTGTAAAAAAGGAGTTGTGAAATTATTAAGTGACATTCAGTGACACCCCCTAACGTAAAAAAGCGCGCAATGCATGATTACTGCTGATAAAGATCGCCCAATCTCCAACCAAAGACATGGTAAGCTTGATCAACACAATTCATGAATAAAATTAAAGTACTCAGCAAAACACGGCGTTATTTGGAACCGCAGAGTACCAAAAACAAAATCGTGGAAATGCAGCGAGATGGAAAAGTGAATATGAAGATGCAAGTTGTCCAATGGCTGGTGAATTAACTTTAGAAAAAAACCTGTAACATGTTTTCGTAAACTGTTACAAAACGAAGCGTTTGTTACCTTGAATGAAGGCACTAGAAGCCTTTGATCCAGCTTTTGAAAAGTGAACCACCATCGATGACATGAGAAGGACAAAAGCAAGCGACTGAAAAATATCACAAACGATGACAAGCCAAGGAGCCTTGATAAATGCTAAAGCTATAAACGATCCTGAAAATAAAAAGATGGCAAGACACATTGCATTGTATTCACCAAGTCTAGAGATGGCCGTTCGTGAAAGTAAATACCACAAGCCAACCAGGGGTCTTCGTACAAAGCCACCAACTGCAAATAACACAGGACCACCGCCTAACTCTTCAATGTACCAATACTCCCATCTAAATTGAAACGCACTACACATTCCTGAATACAAACAGATTCCCAACATCAGTAAATAATGTGGGTTGAAAATCACGCTCTTTACTTCATCATAATCAATCACCCTTTTTCCAAATACTCAAATTTTAGCCAATTCAGCGGTATTAACGTTGTCAACTGAAATCCAGCGGCATAGTAAAATGCAAGAAAATATCCGGGCTCCATTTTATTGCAAATACTAACTCGGAAATATCCTACTAGGATTCCAATAGCAAACAATGAGATACCAGCACCGATTTGACCCCAGAAAGCATAGTAACCATATTTCGTCTTGTCCTTTTTGGTGTGAGTTATTGTCGCCACAGTAATTTGCGTGACAATAAATCTTTTAACTAACTCATAACCACCACGCAAGGCGACCATAGCCAACACAAAATACAACTGCTCACTTGACGAGCCACCTGTAGGAGCTTTTGTGGTCATGAGAACAGCTGAAGTAGAACGTTGTGAAGTTTCGCTAGCATTTGTGGGCATGTTATGCTTGTTGACTTCAGTGTTCTCACTAGCCAAGTTTGAAGTCCCATTGTGTGATTCGCAGTCTGTATTATTATACTGAACGAGAATAAATGCAAGAATGTGAGGGATAACAATAATAATTGAGAACATCAAGAACAATTTTCTAGAGCGAAATTTGTCAGATAAATAGCTAATTAATGGAACGCCAAGAGCTTGCGTGAGTATCCCAAACGTCGGTACAAATCCAATAAGCATAGCGCTCAATCCTTTTTGCTTCAGATACAAAGGTGTATATTCTTCGATTGTAGCAACACTGCTTCGAAACACGAAGAAAAAAAAGCTGACAGCCAAACCGCCGCATGTTACACAAGCCATTCTTTCCACAGACAGCGTCAATAGGAAGGATGCATGTTTCTTTATTCAGTTGCGCCCGACTGATTTCTTTTGAAAGTGAATTGGCTTTCTACATACACGAATATTCACCCCCCTCCTGCAATTAACGTTCGAGTTACGCCAAGTATGAAGCGAAGCGTGATAAGCAATGTTAGCGCAAACCAATACATTTTAGCTGAAAGCTCGACTCGAGGCGATGGCATATACTGTTGCATGAAAGAGAATCATGTTACAGGAAACACAGCAGCGCGCTAAGCCAAGTTTTACCTAGCCTTTGAGTCCTTCTCAATAAATAGAGAGCTTAAGGAAACGACGTTTTCGCATCAGATAAAACGCTATACGCACCGTAACAACATAAAGTACTTGTTATTTTGCAATTATCTTAATTAGAGACAAAGACTTTTTGTTAGTGGCAAAGGTGGTCAATAGAAACATTCTTTTCAATAACTTGAATTTTGTGAGGCCCTAAGTGAGTGACAAAACATAGTTTAAAAAGGCACATTGCTGTGTTGGTGTAGCCAGACATCATGTGTGATGATGCTGTGTGAAAGAGAGATGATTATCTCACAGTGAGTGAACAATGAGACTGAGAATATGAGATAATTATACATAGCATGATTACGAACAGTGTCAGTAAACCAAAAAGAGGATTCAAGCTTTAAGGGAAAAGCGTTTTTAAAAAAATATTTTTAACACCAACGGTTAAATCTAGGGCTTTTCTTCCATATTTGCTAATCTTTTAGACCATTGATCATGAACATTATACTGGTGTCTTCTAAATCCAATATGACTATCTTCTCACCTTCATTTGATTTGCATGAACTAATTTCTGCAACTAGATATTTACAGAAAATTGCAGATGTTATGCAAACAGCAGATCGTTGACATTTTCCGATGAAGGAATTACACGTCTTAAATACAACCCATCTTTTTACACGTCTGCCGAAAGCAAACTCAAAGCGTCACAGTTTAAGCCAAAGGAATCATATATCTATTCATTGTTTATTTTATATATTGCCTGTGTTAACATGCCCGCAAGCCTAGTAAGAATTTCAAAACACAAAATAACTAGCAGTGTAAAACTTTAAACTGAAGCCTGACCGAAACCTTACAACATCCCCATTCCCTAAACAACAATTATTGTAATTTTATATTCATAGAGCATTGATCCAAATTGTTCATAAACGTCTCGCTCCATTAATCACTACTGTACATGGTATCTGCATCTGGTAATTTATTTACTGTTTGTATAATGATAAGTGAATATGTAAAATGATTGCTTTCACTTGAAAATCGACACATGTAGCTGATTACCGATAGTTTTATTCGAAATAGATGATAAACGGACATATACAGTTCCCCTGCATACGCGGTCTATCAGTCACAAGCTGAAAGATAGCGCATTTTGTCATTTATTTAGGATTTTACCTGATTTTAAATCGATTATGAAGACTGAAGGTCGTACTCAAACACTCAAACTAAATGGGTTTAGATTACAGGATTAAGTGTGAATCACACATAATGAAATCAATGCCAAATAGCCAAAAACTTCTCTGTGTATCAAATTCACTGAAGCGTCAAATAAGTGCGTGAAATCGGCTCGCACAGCGTCGCTTACATTTGTTTAGCCATGAATCCCATGATCGTTGAAATGGAAAAAAATCGATCACGTTCCAAAACTTTTTACGTGAAAACCGTGTCTTAAAATATCCTCGTACATTGTATGTGTGCATGGGCAAGATTGTGACATATAACTTTTTTTAATGCCAAACATATGAGATGAATGGTGAGTTGCTAGAAGCTCAAAAGGAATGGATAATGCCAATATTTGACCGTTTTAAAGTGTCCTACAATCGTGGCTTTATTCCTGATAAAGATCCATTGGTACGTTACTTTAAAGCCAAAACTTTCTTGAAATAAATTATTTCGAGAATTATTAAGTAAACGTGTGATGGTAATCGACTGTGCATACACTATGTAGGTATATCTAGATTTACAGACCAATAATAAGTTCACTTGAAATGTGTAATACACTTTTGCATTTATTCACAATTTGCAGTTGAAATTCACAAATCCATACTTTGAACCTTGGGATGAAGTATTTCAAAACTTGACTCAACTAATTGCATCAGGAAAGCTACGTACGATCGTGGAAAGTGTGAGTTGTCTATCTTTTATCTTTCCTCACATGATTTATAGCTACTGAATATATTATGAATACAGGTCTAATACCACAATTGGTAGGAAAAAGTTCAAATATTTGTCAGAATCATATTATCTCCATTCATCCCAAAGATATAACATAATCTTATGTAAAGACAATATTCAGTATGTCATCAGATTTGGATTTGAGTTATTGTATTTTCGATTCCAGTTTTTGGCTTTTGGATTAAAGTTACTGGATTCTGTATCTCAATTTGTAGATTAGAGATCCCTATTCTGGACTGTGGCTTTGTTTACAGTTAAATTTGTTAATGTCTTAGGTCCCAGATTACGGAGTAACATCATAAACAAGATTCTAACCTAATTATGGACAAACAATTTCTCTTAATATAAATTGTAGCTATGTTGCACAGAAGGCATGCAGATTCTTGATACTGCAAAAGTGTAAATTCTAGATTCTTTCATGAGAAAATTGAAAGGCGAAATTATTTATCTCCTGAATTTATACGTTTGACTTTCCAGTTGCCTTTATTGGATCATGCTGTGTTGGACCGTGAAGAAGACTGGGCCAGAGCATATCTGGTTCTTTCTGCCTTGGGTAATGGTTATGTTTGGCAAAATGGTGAACATGACCCTGTGAAGGTTTGGAATAATTTTATTCATTGCGATAATTACTTTTTCTTTAAATAATTGTGATTAACCATTTTGTTTGTCTCGATTAGGTTATTCCGAAGAATTTGGCAATACCTTGGTTTGCTGTAGCAGAATATTTTGGTAATGTTAACATTTCTATAAGTACACACAGTTTTATTGAACACAGTGGCAGTCTGCTTATTTAGTTGTTGTATGTTGTCTTTTCTGTGTTAACTTGCTGTGATAAGAATGGATTTCTAAAGAAATGAATAATATTACATGCATGGCATGGCCAAAACTTGCTGGCTGCTGATGCCACTGATTTAATTAAGATAGTGTGATAGACAAGTAAACTTCTCGACAGTTTTGTGTACTACTTAATGTTTAAACAAGGCCTTTAGTGTTTAGAGGTGTGCTGAATACAGAATAGATTTAACAAATATTTGCTTTATACTTTCAAAATCATCCAGGGTGTCTCAAAAAGTAATCAAACTTGAACAAGCTAGTGTGTATAAATAACTGAAAAAACGACCTTAGTTTGAAATATTATTAAAGATTAGAGTTTAAGCTTTTTGAATGACATGTTGCTTGTTGCATTAGGAAGAAAAATGAGCAATTGCAAGCCCACTTGAAAAATGTAGTCAAAAGCTCTTACATTTTTCATTTCCCCCCTTTTTTGTAGCGCACTTATGACTTACATATTATAAGAAGAGTTGTCTCTTTTTCTTAACAAAATTCTCGCATTCAACAAAAAGATGGAAATATTTTCATAATTTTACTCTTTAGGGTCTTGTCCTGTCATCGCTCATTGGAGTGGCATTCTAAACAACTGGAAGATAAAAGACAAAACAAGGAAAGCTGGCGTTAAATAGTTGAAAAATTTTGGATGTCAAATCTTGTGATGGCGATAAACATTTAATCATCTTCACAAAATCTTCCCGTAATTTTGTTTCGTGTTTTCTTTTTTCTCAACAGATTTCTTGATGTTGACAACATCGAAACTCAGTTTGTATTCACAGGTGCAAAAGACGAATTTTGGTTTTATGCTGTAACTTGGCAATTAGAAATGCACGCTGTTCCTGGGATCAAGGTACCTTGAACTTTATAAAATAAACACAATGAAACGCGTGCGCTGATTGGTCTAGAGCTGTGTTTGCATGAGCCTGTGCCAAACACATCCGAGCTCAACCAATCAAATCAATCATAACAATCAATCAGTCAAAGAGAATTACCAAACCGATCATGAATACATTTTAGAGGAAAAATTAAAATGCTTCTCTGTTTCGCATTATTGTTATTTTATAAAAGAAATAAAAGACGTTTTCGTGTTTGCACTGGCTTATGCAAACCTCGGAGACGTTTGTGAGAACTCTCGAGCAGGTGCAACCCTCGACCTTCGGTCTTGGGCTTGCACTGATCTGCTCTCAAGCTCTCCCAAAGGTCTCCTCGGTTTGCATAAGTCTGTGCAAACGCAGTAAACATCTTTTATTTATTAAAAAATACATGGAACGCTATCTGAAGCAAATAATTGAAGCCAAATCTTACCCCAGACACGCGTGTGTAGTTTTTCGAGTTTCTCTCGTGGACTAATAATTGATTGACTACACACGCGTGTCTTGGGTAAAATCACGGCTTCAAAAAATTATTATGGTTTTGCATTACAGGTAGCGTTCCATGTGTTTTAGTTCATTGCCTGGTGACGAGACCACTGATCTCGAAATAAGACTGGATCAAGCATCTAGCACAGAAATTGAATACAAAATTTAAGGAGAGCCGCCATTACTAAAGGACCAACTTGCGAAAATGAGGAGCAAATGTATTGTGGATTTGTACGCGAATAATCCTGAATTTTCAACATATAACTACATGAAAATAACTAAGAGATAAATCAGTTTATAGATAAGCTAAAAATACGATGAAATATGATGAAACATGATCAAAATGCAGCGATTTTTGTCATCAGTAACTCTACTGCGGTATGGAAAAGCTATGTAAAATAGCCCAGAACTACATGGAAATACCTAGAATCGTCAGAATTGTAGTACAGAAATACGAACTGATTAAATATTCTCATTTACGATCATAAACTGATCAATCCTTTAAAATTACAAGCCTTTTTTATGAGTGATTCGGAGTGAAACCTGTCTGCAGACTGTTGTTATAAAGTCGATTATTCTTTCTGACTCTCTTTACAATCGCCCCAAAGGTTGTTTTTCACCTTCTGTATCATTTTAAAACATGATTTTTTTTCATAGTTTTGTTTCTTGAATCCAATTAATCTTTCGATGTGTTGGTCCCTTAGTAATAGCAACGGTGGCTTCGAAATTTATTCATCACAAATGTAGAGTGCTTGATCCAGTCTTATTTCGAGATCAGTGGACGGACGAGACTGACAGTTCCGTTTGTTTTTACGTTTCGAAAATAAACATGTTGGAATCTGGACTTAATCTGGATCGAGAGACACTCATAATTTTATGTCCCTTAGATTGGCTAAATTAATCCCTAATCTAATCTGTAACGTCCACTTTTGATATGTATGAGGCTTTTTAGTCGGAAATTTTTGTACGAATAGATATATGTAAACTGTTACCGATTCGATGGAGTTTTGAATTTTTAAATAAGATTTGTCGACTTATTCTTCGATCTTCCTTTTACGTATTTTCTCTGAAGCCTGGAATTCGACTTTTAAGAATGACTTTTTATTTGGGGGGGGGAGGGTGGATTGTTTGAAAAGGAGTACATATTCATTGCTTCATTTCTTAGTGCAACGGGGAGGGGGGTTCATGAAAAGAGAATCAGTAGAGAATATGTTTACTCATTTCATCCATACTTTTTCTTTCTTGTAGAGTGTTGTTGCGGCTCAAAAGGTACGTATAAACAGGATGTTAAAGGGAAGAATGGGGATGCTAATTGATTTGGCGGTTACGCTAAAGCTTATATTTGAAATATGGGTAAATTGTTCGTACCGCTGATAAGTATTTATTAGTTTTTCGGTAAACTAATGGTTATTTATGAACTCTTGTGAACGATTTAGGCCGTTTTGGATAGGAATACGGACTTGTTGATCACTTGTTTATCTATTTTACAAGAAACTATTGGACGTTTAACGAAAACTTTAAATAAAATGTTTGGTAAAATATATCAATTTTTTCATTTTCTTAAGAAATCAGAACTTCATTTTCGTGTTCATATTTATTTGTTATTTAGAACATTGTCGTCCAGAGGTCTTTTACTCAAAACTGCGAGTATTTTTAGCTGGGTAAGTAGCTACAACATGTCTAGACTAAATTCACGTGTACCTGCACGTGATTTAAAATATAAATTCTTAGAAATACTGTGAGGCCCTGGAAAAACAGTTTTTAAAAGGCCCTATGGAGTCATGTTGTTTACTACCAACAACTCTAAGACAAAGCGATCTATAAAAGTTAATGGAAAAAGTTTATAAAAACACTGTATCAATAAATATTAGAAGACAAATTAACAACATTATTTATATTAGTCCCTTTGGTATGGTTGTGCATGAAATAGCACATTTTGAAGAAAGTCAGTGTTGTCAACTGTCTGCCAGAGTTGTTGATTAACTGAATGGTGTACTTGAAAACGTCACATAAAGCCGCTGAAGAAATTTACTGTGGACTCATTTTCATTGCAAATTGTCACATTTGTTGGTCGCTTTTTGCTCAAACTAGTCAATAAACACTTCAAAATTTTATTCAGTTAAACTCTAAACGATCTAATGAAATATAGGGAGATAACGAAAACATTTTTGAATAATTTAGGTGGAAAAAGAACAAAACTTTACCTGAAGGAATTTTGTACGAAGGAGTCAGTAAAATTCCATTAATGGTAAATAAATTTGAAGCGTCAATTAGGGTAACAATGTCAGCATGCTTTGGAACTGAATAATAGGATCCGCTCACTTCAAACGAGTTTACCTAATCACATATGCTCTTAGCAAGTGCACAATCTATGCAAATTTTATATCAGATTTAGTCGGATGGGCTCAATCACTCCCACAGTCCCACCTGTTCTGAGTTTTCAACTAGATAAAGCAGATTTGAGTTTAATCTCATCAGACCAAATTAAGTAAAAATTTTACATGTATGGTCATACTGTTAGTGCGTTATCCTGAATTAGATCTTTGACCTTCTGTAAGCATTTTGATATTGTATTCACTCTATTCAGTAAATCTCATAACGCTACGCGTTAAACAATACTTACATTTTCGATACATTGATAGAAATTAACATTTACTCAGCTTTAAGAATGAATATTTAAGAATGAATATATTAACTCAAGGTATTATGGGTCTTAATGTTAAATCCAATAGATAATAAATTGTTGGGTTATGTTTATAGATATTTATAATTTTGGACTTCGGAATGATCATTTTGGTAATGTATGCTTCAAATTTGTTTAGTTTTCAGGAGGAAGTGCAGCTCAAAGCACGACCTTTCAAATTTTTGATGCTGCCCTTGGAGTTAGTCATCCAAAGATTGAAGGTGAGGGATTTTGAATTATTCCATTAACAAAATTATTCGAGCACTAAGTAAGGAAACTCACAAACTTTCAACATTTCATACTTAAGCGTGGCCAGCCAGAAGCTTTATTCCTGCTCCGTAAATATTGAACCATTACTCATGGCTATTTCTTTGGAAACTTATTGTTCTCACGTTCAGTTAATACAATAGGGAGCTTTAGCAAAGACTACGAAGTACGACTAGGAGTACGATTTACGTCATTTTGGCGCAAAAACATTGTTGCGACAACAACAACAAACTTCCTCGTGCCATTCTCTTACACGGTTAAACTTCGTACTTATTGTCGTAGTCGTACTCTTGCTAAAGCTCCCTAATATTTGCATTGGGGGAGGGGGAGTCAGACTGGTTGAACTACCGATTTTCCACGGACTTTCCGCTTGTTGATATTGTGATATCACAAAAGTTGACGGAGTACATCTTGACAGTTGACGTAGTACATCACGACAGTTGACGTAGTGACATCGCGACAGTTGATGCAATGACATCGCGACAGTTGACGTAGTACATCACGGCAGTTGACGTAGTGACATCGCGACAGTTGACGTAGTGACATATTTCATATGTTTGATAAAACACAGTGGCAAACATTATTTTCTAGATGGTGAAAAGTCCTTTTTAGAATCTATGTTAGATTACATGCCTCGTTGGCATAGAGAATTTGTTTTGTATGTTCGAGACGGACCTTCAATTCGTGAATATGGTAGGATTTGTTAACAAATATATTCACTGCGAAATTATGACGATCTGTTTTATGCTACGATTGCTGAACGGGTAGTAAAATGTCTTTATTAAATATGAAGAGCTGTACTCTATATTTTTTAGTGTTGAAAAGCAATGACCACAAACTCCAACAACTTTATAACGAATGTATTGAACGTTTGACAGAATTCCGTAGCGAACACGTAAAAATAGTCGCAAGGTAAACAGCAATTTTCTGTGCAGGATCTTCCATTACGACTTCAACAGACGGGGGAAAGATTTATTAGGGCCTGTTCATATGAGCCCGGTTAGCGGGACATCTCGCCTATCTATGATCTTGCTTTGCAACACATTTACTATTGATATACGTCATGTTCATATGAGAAAGCGGGCTTGCTCGGTTGCCGAGATCTCGGCTGTAGGAAACGAGATCATAGTTTGGTGGGATGAAAATTTTCTATATGAACTCGCCAGCCCGCTTACCAAGATGAAATTATGATATTAAAAACATGGCGACCAATGAAGTGGAGCCGGGATTTAAGACAAAATCAACGAATTATACGCTGGAATAATGGCATGATTTAAAGTTTACTTCATTATTTGAAGATAACAGTAGTATTCAATATAAAAAACACAGTATACAAACGGCATAAGCCATTAAACTACTAAAAATTCCGGTCTATGATGCGCCATGTTAATTTTAACTCGCGGAATTCGGGAAGGGTTCTTTTGCTGTTTCGTCTCGGTAGGCGGGATTGAATTTATCATATGAAAGCGAGGTAATATTCGGCTCGCTCAGTGGGATGTCTCGCTAACCGGACTCATATGAACAGGCCCTTAGCAATACTAAATATAGAGTTCAGAAGTATAGTACAATGATCTATAGGATATTATTAGAATAGAAATATATGGCCACAGTAATATTATATAATCGATTAGTGTAATAAAGTGTTTTAGTTCAGTCGCGTTGGATATTTGAACAGTATAGGTGAGTTCTGTACTGTAGTATAATTTAGCTCGATAAGAACATAGGCAATGATTGATTGAATGCTCTTTGACGTCTTTGAAGAAACTTTGATGATTTTTTTTTTCATGGAAAATTTTTCTAACGTTTCTTATTTAGATATATCACAATTCAAGCGACAAAAAGTAAGAACGTTAATGTGAAAATGCTCGCGAATCAAGGAACTGGTGGAACTGGTAAGCGAACTACTTTATTCCTTGGCTTAAAACGGGTTTTTCTTCAGCTGAATTTGGCTGAATTTGTCAGGTTTTTTTCAGTTCTTGTGTTAACTTCATACTGCATGGTTTAATTCTGTGACAGTTATCTATAAATATTTACAAAGCTTTTTGTAAGACGATATAAGTATTAAGCAGTGTTTCATTTTCGTTTTTCAAGTTTTTAGCTATCTAAATTAAAAGCATTGGTCGACACTTGGGGAGGCGGTTCCCCTCCCCCTCTGAATACTTTTCAAATATACTACATTTTGAGCTATTCTTTAGCCATTTAGACATTTAGAGTTATTTAAATGAACTGTCTTTTGAGCTTCACCGTTAAAGATTTCAAGTCATCATTTGACTCATTTTACTGCTCGCCCACAAAATAACCCGCTATGTCTTGCATCTGGTGACTGTCTCTTGTTGTCTAAAAGTATTTTAATGTAGGGAAAAAGTGGTTAACTCCAGGTTTTACAAACTAGTGACGGCAAATTTTGTGTGAAATGACTGTTACTCTAACTCAAACTTCTGTTTTTCATTAAGGTGTCATGCCATTTTTAAAAGCAGTACGACAAAAAACGTCTGAGAGGAAGATTCACCTTGAAAATGGTTTTGAAAAAAATATACCGTAGTTTTATTCGTAGTTGTATAAGTAAATTAAAATCACTGGCGTAGCCAGCCTGCAATATTTTTCTTGCTATGTAAAATTTTCTGTGTAAAAAACAATAGATTTCTAAAGGAATGAAAATGCAATTGCTATGAAATTTACATAGCATGACTAAACTTGCAGGATGGTTACGCTATTTATATAATATATAACTAAAATGCTTCAAATAATAAAAATATGCAATCTTTAATATTTTTGTATCCATTTTTCTGCGAGACTAAGGACCGTTTCAAACGTCGAACTTAACTTGCGCCGAACGCATTAAAGACAAAGGATATATATAGAGATGAAATTTCTCATTATCTTTTGTTTTAAGTGCATTCGGCAAATGCAAAGTTCGACATTTAAAACGGACCTTCGATAAAAATAAAGGGATTATTACAAGAGACAGGGGGAAAGACTTTTTTTGCCATAAATGGACTATTTTTCAATTTCTTCAAAAAAGATTGTAAAACATTTGGAAGTTTTAAGAAATGTATAGTTTGTAACGTGTGAATGATGTGACTGTTAATGATGTGACGTCTAATAAACGCCCCGTATCAAATAAGCGCTCCGTCTTAAAAGATACTATTAAAGTGAATATAACTGATATAAAACAAAACTATAGAGCATTTGTTCCGTATCTTTTATAAAAGAAGATTTTACTGATTTGCTGACATGTTTCGAATCTCTTGGGTATAAAAAACATGATTAGCTACTGACAATATTGGCCTGTTGAAATACGCAGCTTTTGAGATTTTTTCATTGCAATTATCAAGCGAAATTTAAACGTCGTAAAATGCATGAACGTAACATTTACACGCTGCAAAGATGAATCTCCCCCCCATTTGTCCAAGTTTGTGTGTACATTTTTTGCCTTCCTTTTTGTCTACCTGTTTATTTACCTTTTCTCTACTTTTTTGTCTACCTTTTTATTTACCTTTTTATCTACCTTTTTGTCTACCTTTTTGTCTACCTTTTTATTTACCTTTTTGTCTACCTTTTTGTCTACCTTTTCGTCTACCTTTTGTCTACCATTTTATTTACCTTTTGTCTATCTTTTGTCTACCTTTTGTCTATCTTTTGTCTACCTTTTGTCTACCTTTTTATTTACCTCTTTTTTCTATCATTTTGTCTAGCTCTTATGTTTATCTTTTTTTCTACTTTTTGCCTATCTTTTTGTCTACCTTTTTCGTCTATCATTTGTCTACCCTTTTTGTCTATCATGTGTCTACCTCTTTTGTCGATGTGTGAAATTACTGAACTACAGTCTTTGGTGTGAAAATAAGCAAATTATAGTCTTTTGCGTGAAAATGTGTGAACTTTAATCTTTTGCATGAAAATGTGTGAAAACGCGTAAACTGTAGTCTTTGGTGTGAAAATGCGTGAATTATCTTTGCGTAAAAATGTGTGACAATGCGTGATTTATAGTCTTTGCTGTGAAAATGTATAAAAATGCGTAAACTACAATCTTTCCAATTTTAGTGTCATAAATAGTAACAAATTTCACCGGTTGAGAAAGAGGTCTTCGTATTTTCTTAAAACAGGACTTTAAGAGGAATTTGCCACGCATGCCAAGATAAGGAATACGAACCCAAATTTTAGGTAGATTATCATCTATTGAAGAGCGGTTGTCAATGGGAATAGAATCATTGTATTTGGATTTTAGTTTTTTAAACAAAAAGCGAACATGCAACCGGGCTCTCTTCTAGTGCAGTTGGCCAGCATTTCTCTGACTGCGAAAACGATCAATTCCTGAGTGAATTATAGTCTTTGCTTTAAAAATGTGTGAAAATCCATGGACTATAGTCTTTGGCATGAAAATTGGTGAAAATGCATAGACTATAGTCTTTGGCATGAAAATTTTAAAAATGCATGAAATATAGTCTTTGGCATAAAAATTTGTGAAAGTGCATGGACTATAGTCTTTGGCATGAAAATTTTCGAAAATGCATGGACTAGAGTCTTTGGCATGCAAATTTTAAAAATGCATGAAATATAGTCTTTGGAATGAAAATTTGTGAAAATCCATGCACTATAGTCATAAACATGAAAATTGGTTAAAATGCATGGACTATAGTCTTTGGCATGAAAATTTTAAAAATTCATGAAGTATAGTCTTTGGCATGAAACTTTGCAAAAATTCATGCACTATAGTTTTAGCAAGAAAGTTTGTGAAAATGCATGTACTATTTTCTTTTTCATAAAATTTGCAAAATTCATGGACTTTACTCTTTGGCAAGAACGTTTGTGAAAATGCATGGACTATAGTCTTTGGCATGAAAATTTGTGAAAATGCATGGACTATAGTCTTTGTCATGAAATTTTGCAAAAATTCATGGACTATAGTCTTTGGCAAGAATGTTTGTGAAAATGCATGGACTATAGTCTTTGGCATGAAAATTTGTAAAAATGCATGAAATATAGTCTTTGGCATGAAAATTTTTGAAAATGCATGGACTTAAGTTTTTTTCATAAAAATTATAAAAAATTTATGGACTTTAGTCTTTGGCAAGAAAGTTTGTGAAAATTCATGGAGTATAGTCTTTGTAATGAAAAATTGTGAAAATCCATGGACTAGAGTCTTTGGCATGAAAATTTTAAAGATGCATGAAATATTATAGTCTTTGGCATGAAAATTTGTGAAAATGCATGAAATATTGTCTTTGGCATGAAAATTTATAAAAATTCATGGACTATAGTCTTTGCCATGAAAATTTGTGAAAATTCATGGACTATAGTCTTTGGCAAGAAAGTTTGTGAAAATGCATGGACTCTAGTCTTGGTCATGAAAATTTATGTAAATGCATGGACTATAGTCTTTGGCATGAAAATTTTAAAAATGGATGATATATTGTCTTTGTCATGAAAATTTGTGAAAATGCATGAACTATAGTCTTTGGCAATAAAATTTGTAAAAATTTATGGACTATAGTCTTTGACATGAAAATTTGCAGTTCACATTGGGTACTTAGAACGAACACTAACACCACGTCACCAAAGAAACGCGACAAAGGTGAAGACAAGAATTTGCAGGAGATATTTCTTGTGGAGGCACTTACATGAAAGTATACATTGATATACACAAGCTTTCCAAACCAACATTTACGTCACATGTAGTACATTACAACCTAGAAGATAGATGAAGCTCTAAACCTGGAATGTATCTATTTAAAGGTGGACTTTAAATAGATACTTTTGCTCATAATCATAAATAAGGAGAGTCATTAATACAATGCTGTAGATTCTTTTAGAACCAAAAATTTAATGAAGCATACCTAGATATTTATATGTCATATTTACAAAAAATATATATAGATTGTAATTCACTTCATATACTAAGGCTACATCCATGAGATACTTTCAGCATATTTATAAAGAAAGAAATTCATGAGACATTTGCAAAGAATACAAATTTTCCCACTTCTTAACAACTTCTTCTGAGCAAATGAATGTCGAAAATATTAGTGTTCCAAGCGGATCTCGTGTATTTGTCAAGAAAATTACATCTTTAAAATAAAATTATTTCATATATTACACTAGTGTACATATTGAGATGTTTAGCTATTTGACATAGCAAAGAATAAAAATATTATTTAATTCCATAAAAACCAATCAATCTCATGTATTTATAAAAATGGGAAATTGCTAAATATTATATATAACAATAACAGTGTATTGGGAATCGAACCCAAAGACTAAATTGTACCGCAGTTTTAAAGATACTCAAATTGGGCTGTTTTTGGCTATTGAACATATTTTGGAATATTTTATAGTTCCAAAGTTTGATATTTGTAGAAATTTTGAAGCTCAAAGTTAGTAAGTTATTGCATGATCGTAATAGGAAAAAACAATTCAAGATCTTTATCGTTCAATTGCACTTCACAATTTAACGTCACAAACAATAAAACAAATTACCAGTTTTTTTACACTACTGGTCCAACAATAGAATGCTTAAATGTCCAACTTTGAGCTCCTAAATACACGCAAATAAAACTTTCACATTAACATTATGTGTTAAGTAAATAAACATGCAAGATAATTCAACCAAAATCACTCAAACTGTTATAAAAAGCAGAATTGCTTAGACATGACTCTGATTGTTTAACGAAAGCGAAGGCAGCCGTAAATTTATTTGACAGAAGACCTTAGGTTCGTTCATCTAAACATTCATAATTTTCAAAAAATATTTCTTTTGGTTTCATGTTTGTACATGATAAGTAGTACAAGTTTAGTCCCACACCAAGGTCACTGTTTTTTTTGAAGACTTAACCGAAATAAAAAATCCCTAATGGAAAAACCTGAACGGTATTAACCAAAACCGAACACAAAGGCAGACGAAGTTGGAGAATACTGAACAGGAAAAACCACCAGGGATTTTAGCCGAAGTTCCGCGCCGTGGGGACCCCTGTACAAGCAATAAAGTTCACATACCTTTGAAACGATGCAAATAGCCAAAAAATAGAAAAAACCGTCAACTTTTTTTAAAACACGCTTTCAAGTCCAAAAAATTTTTGGTCTTTTTGAAGATACACTGTAGTTTTGGAAGTAATTCGCCATTTTTACGTAAATGTATATATCGCCAAATTAAACCGATCACCGAACTGGACAATTTCCTTCTTTGCACGAGAAAATTGTGCATTTGATGGGAATTTCTTGTAACGTGTGTTTCTCTAATCTAATCCATAACCAAAACAGTCGCACCTAGCGCCACCTAAGCGTCCCTATTTTGCACCGTTAATTTAATTCAGTGCTTTGCGCGCCCGGTGCCACTAACGCTTAAAACTGAAGAAAGCGCTGGCTGTATGACATGGATTAGATTATAGTACTTCAAGATAGGTTTGTACAGTCAGACGAAATTCAATGTTCCTTTAATAAATATAATTTATTTCAAGAGAAAATTTAACATTAACCACTTGAAGAAGCACACGTTAAGTTTGGTTAACGAGGAAGTGGAGATTGTTTAACCAAACAATCCGCAGCGCTTCATTTAAATTATGTTTTAGTTTGACAATATCACATAGTTCACTTTTATAGAAACGCAAATGGCGAACATGGAAACCTTCGTGTAACTTTTAAGTAAAATATGTGACAACGTCTACGGTTTGTCTTCATAGTAACCATTAGAAATAAACAAAACAATGCACTTTTAATAAAACCGTGTTTTCTTTCAGATTATTATGAAGGCATACCGCATACTTAGACCTGGTGTACTAATTTACTTTTGCGCTATTTACGCTGTGGCTTGCAGCATTGAAATTCCCAGGAATAAAGTTTTCTTTAACAGAAAACAACATGTCCCTTTTAAACATTTACAGTAATTGCCACGCCGCCCCTAAACTGTAAATGTCTTAACAAATTAAATACCTTTTTAAGTATCTATTTGTCGATTTAATAATGAGTGACAAGATTGAAAGTTTTCTTCCAAACATTTAAAATTCACTCAGTTCTCTTGATAGTGAGGTTCATCCTTTAAAGGTACAAACCCCACGTTCGTTACCTGAGCGTAGCAACTACCCGCCGCAACTACAGCGCATGCCTAAGCTATCTAAACTTCCTACCTGCGCA